CTGGCCGCCCGGCCAAACTGAGCAATCGGGGGACAAGGGCCTTGGTCAGGGAGGTGACCAAGAACCCGATGGTCACTCTGACAGAGCTCCAGAGTTTCTCTGTTGAGATGGGAGAACCTTCCAGAAGGACAAGCATCTTATCAGCACTCCACCAATCAGGCCTTTATGGTAGTGGCCAGACGGAATCCACTCCTTACTAAAAGGCACATCACAGCCCGCTTGGAGTTTGCCAAGCGAGTTCTGTGGCTGCAGAGGCCAGATCATTACGGTGATTGTGATAGGGAGTTCGATGGTGAGGAATATATCTGTACCTGGGGCAAAGACTGTGTTTCCTGGGGCAAAAGTTCAGGATATCACCAGGTTGCTTTCCGAGGCTGTGAGTCAGTCACAGGGGGCTGATACTGTCATGGTTGATGTGGGGTCAAATGACATTATGAAGGACAACTCAGAACAGCTGAAGATGGATTTTAAAGAACTCATTTGGTCTCTACTTGACACCAACAAACGCCCCATAATATCTGGCCCTCTGCCCTCCCTAAATTGTGGCATTGAACGGTTCAGCAGACATTTAGCCCTCCATAACTGGCTACGAGACCTTTGCAGCTCTGTGAGTGTAACATTTATTGACAATTCGGATACCTTCTGGAAACAAAGCTTGCATTATAAGGAGGATGGGATCCACCCAAATCATTGGGGTTCCTGGATCCTTTCACAGCATTATATGGCTGCGTTGAGACAATGACTTTTCAATGACCCAAGTCCAGCTCATTTAATCCCTACCATTGTGTCGCTGAGTTGTCATATTGATTCAGCAAATGTACATTATCCTAGGGGCGTTGGAAGACACAATGTAAATAACCTAATTTCTGTCCCTCTTACTGCCCAGAATGCCTCTGCTGATCCTACAACTATTGTATGCAGTAATCATATGCCTACAAACCAGAGTAATATTGTTAGCACTGAGGTGGTGTGCCCTAGTAGGAAGTCCACTGTGTGCAGCTCACTCTGCACTAATAAAAACAACCAGAGTATGTCTACCTCTGCTAAGCAAGACAAATAATCAAGCATCCCAGAAAAGTGTTAAAAATAGCCCACGTTAACATATGTAGCTTAAGAAACAAGGTTCATGAAATCCAGTGGTGGAAAAAGTACCCAACTGTCATACTTGAGTAAAAGTAAAGATACCTTAATAGAAAATGACTCAAGTAAAAGTCAAAGTCACCCAGTACAATTCTACTTGAGTAAAAGCCTAAAAGTATTTGGTTTAAAATATACTTACGTATCAAAAGTAAATGTATTTGCTAAAAATGTACTTCAGTATCAAAAGTAAAAATATAAATCATTTCAAATTCCTTATATTAAGCAAACCAGACACCACCATTTTCTTGTTTTTTACATTTACGGATAGCCAGGGACACACTCCAACATTCAGACATGATTTACAAATGAAACATTTGTGTTTAGTGAGTCCGCCAGATCAGAGGCAGTAGGGATGACCAGGGATGTTCGGTTGATAAGTGCGTGAATTGGACTATTTTCCTGTACTGCTAAAATGTAATGAGTACTTTTGGGTGTCAAGGAAAATGTATGGAGTAAAAGGTACAATATTTTCTATAGGAAAGTAGTGAAGTAAAAGTAAAAGTTGTCAAAAATAGAAATATTATACCCCCAAAAACTACTTAAGTAGTACTTTAAAGTATTTTTACTTAAGTACTTTACACCACTGATGAAATCAATAATTTGCTAGTAACAGATGACATTCATATTCTGACAATCTCTGAAACTCACTTAGATAATACCTTTGATGATACAGTCGTAGCAATACAAGGTTATAACATTTACAGAAAATACAGAAATGCCAACAGGGGCGGTGTTGTGGTCTATATTCAGAACCACATTCCTGTAAAGCTTAGAGAGGATCTCATGTTAAATACTGTTGAAGTAATATGGCTACAGGTTCACCTGCCTCACCTAAAGCCCATTCTGGTTGGAAGCTGCTATAGACCACCAAGTCCTAACAGTCAGTACCTGGATAATATGTGTGAAATGCTTGATAATATATGTTATATCAATAGAGAGATATACTTTCTGGGTGATTTAAATATCGACTGGCTTTCATCAGGCTGCCCACTCAAGAGAAAGCTTCAAACTGTAACTAGTGCCTGCAACCTGGTTCAGGTTATCAATCAACCTACCAGGGTGGTTACAAACAGCACAGGAATGAAATCATCAACATGTATTGATCATATCTTTACTAATGCTGCAGAAATTTGTTTGAAAGCAATATCCAAATCCATCGGATGTAGTGATCACAATATAGTAGCCATATCTAAGAAATCTAAGTTCCAAAGGCTGGGCCTAATATTGTGTATAAGTGGTCATACATAAGTTTGGTAGTGATTCCTATGTTGTTGATGTGAAGAATATTTGTTGGTCTGTGGTGTGTAATGACGAGCAACCAGACGCTGCACTTGACACATTTATGAAATTGCTTATCCCAGTTACTAATAAGCATGCACCCATTAAGAAAATTACAGTAAAAACTATTACATCCCCGTGGATTGATGAGGAATTGAAAAATGGTGTGGTTGAGAGGGATGAGGCAAAAGAGATGGCAAATAGGTCTGGCTGTACAACCGATTGGCAAACGTACTGCTAATTGAGAAATCATGTGACTAAACTGAATAAAAAGGCCCTAGTTTTGTCGCCCCTGGACTACTGTTCAGTCGTGTGGTCAGGTGCCACAAAGAGGGACTTAGGAAAATTGCAATTGGCTCAGAACAGGGCAGCACGGCTGGCCCTTGGATGTACACAGAGAGCAATGTCAATTTCTCCTGGCTCAAAGTGGAGGAGAGATTGACTTCATCACTACTTGTATTTGTGAGAGGCATTGACATGTTGAATGCACCGAGCTATCTTTTTGAACTACTGGCACACAGCTCGGACACCCATGCATACCCCACAAGACAGGTCTCTTCACAGTCCCCAAGTCAAGAACAGACTATGGGAGGCGCACAGTACTACATACAGCCATGACTACATTGAACTCTATTCCACATCAAGTAACTCATGCCAGCAGTAAAATTAGATTTTGTGAAGCAACACAAACATAGACACATGCATACGATAACATACGCACTATACACATGTACAAATGGATTTTGTGCTAAGATATGTGGTAGTAGAGTAGAGGCCTGAGGGCACACACTTAATATGCTGTGAAATCTGTTCTGAATTGATTGTAATGTTTTTAAAATGTATAACTGCCTTAATTGTGCTGGACCCCATGAAGAGTAGCTGCTGCCTTGGCAGCAGCTAATGGGGATCCATAATAAATACATACAATACCTAAAGGACTCTCAGACCATGAGAAACAAGATTCTCTGATGAAACCATGATGGAACTCTTTGTCCTGAATGCCAAGTGTCACGTCTGGAGGAAACCTGGTACCATCCATATGGTGAAGCATGGTGGTGGCAGCATCATGCTGTGGGGATGTTTTTCAGCGGCAAGGACTGGGAGACTAGTCAGGATCGAGGGAAAGATGAACAGAGCAAAGTACAGAGAGATCCTTGATGAAAACCTCCTCCAGAGTGCTCAGGACCTCAGACTGGGACGAAGGTTCCCCTTCCAACAGGACAATGACCCTAAGCACACAGCCAAGACAACGCAGGAGTGGCTTCGAGACAAGTCTTTGAATGTCCTTGTGTGGTCCAGCCAGAGCCCGTAGTTGAACCCGATCTAACATCTTTGGAGAGACCTGAAAATAGCTGTGCAGGGACGCAACCCATCCAACATCACAAAGCTTGAGAGGATCTGCAAAGAATGGGAGAAACTCCTTAAAAACAGGTGTGCGAAGCTTGTAGCGTCATACCTAAGAAGACTCAAGTCTGTAATCGCTGCCAAAGGTGCTTCAACAAAGTACTGAGTAAAGGGTCTAAATACTTATGTAAATGTTATATTTCAGTTTGTGATTTGTCATTATGGGGTATTGTGTGTAGATTGATCAAGGGGGGGGGACAATTGAATCCGTTTTAGAATAAGGCTGTAACGTAACAAAATGTGGAAAAGTACTGTATCTCTCACACTTCTAAAATGAACATTCTGTGGTTTCTACTCATCCTCACAGGTAACCTATATACATTTATTTTAAGAGATTGAACGGCCATTTAAGAACAAAAAATGTGTAACATATTGTATGAATTAGATTCGTAACATATCTTACGAATGAAAAAAATTATACAGATTCAGGGACCAGTTTTGGCTTGTGAGCACTACTTTAAAAAATACTGGCTTATTTTACACAAAACCTTTACAACGCATCTTTAAAGATAGTTGATAAGATGTAAAGTTGTCTTAGAAGGACAGATTTACTAAATGGTACACCTGTATTTTCCAAAGGGATTAAGCATTGAGGACAGAAGACAAATGTAAAATAAGAATTGTAAAAGTAAATTGTGAATGAACAGTTTCATTTTTTATCCTGGTTTGTTTTTGGTATTTTATCCCTTGCTGAAAAAACTGGTGCAACCTCTTCCTCTTTAGGGACCTGGGCTGAAGTCCCTCCAAAGGACCAGTATGGGTTGAAGGGGGGTTCGGTGTGCCTGGCTGTAGCAGAATCACCTGAGACGCTTGAAGGACTTAGATGGAAGTTCAACCATACTGTAATAGTTGATGATAAAGAGATCTCTCCTAAATACAAGGAGAAGGTGGATTAAAATCCAGTGAACCACACATTGTGCATTAAGTATCTGACGGACACAGACAGTGGAATTTACATCGCAAATGCAAAGAAAATAGATTGGACAGGTTCAACTACTTCATACAGACTTAAGGTGTTGGGTGAGTTTTGTGATTTTTTTGTGTTTTGGTAGTCTGCTATGTGTTTCTGCTTTGCTTGAAAAAGCTAATCTCCTTTAAAGTGTCTTCACCAGTCATACATGTAAAATCTATCTTTCTGAACTTTATTCGTTGTTGTAGAAGCTGTTCCCATTCCAGCCATGCAGGTGACATACTCCAACTCAAGTACAGGACTTTGTAACATCACAGTGAATTGTTCAGGCTGGGTGTTTTCTGTCTGTGATGGAGGTCAGTGCACACTGTACCAGGATTCTCTGTCATTCTCTGAGGTCAACATCACCGTCTCCAGTGGTAATGGATTCATCCAGTGTATCGTCAACAATCATGTCAGCGCAGAGGCCAAATCCCAACGCATGGAGGACATGTGTAAGTCTAATTTACTAGCTTCCACCTTCTGTGCATACCTTTTATCCTTCTATCATTGTAAAAAATATATTTATATATCAACAAAAAGTTTTAACATCATAGTTATTATTATTGTTCTCCAGCAAAATGTTGATTAGCAGTGTGTGTGTGTGTGCGTATGTGTGTGTGTCTCAGGTATTGGTCAGAAGAAGGGGAGAGCTGCAGCATCACCAGTTGGCACCATTGTGGGTGGTGTTAGTGGTGGATTGTTCTTCATTGTGTTAGTTGGTGTACGATGGATCATATCAACCAGAAGATGGTGTAAATAAGAAATGTCATTGCAGGTACTTTCAATTCATGTAAAAACTAATCAAAATCACCAAAATATGATATACATGGTCTTTCTAGGACGCTGGAGCTATGTTTTTATAAAATGTTAAACAATGACTATTTTAATGTTTTTACAGTATGTCTCATCTCCTAACAGGTCACCCAGGGAGCGCTCCACCAGGGGAGAAGCTGGAACCACAGTTCCCCCAACAGGCAGATGCGTTTTACAGCACTGTGCAGCAACCAACGGAACAAGATCGCCATCAACTGGACAAAGTGTGCACTGCACCAGAAGAGAGGCCAGGACCACAGAGCCCTTCTGAGGCAGAGCCTACAACAGTCTTCTAGTCTTCTACAGAACCGTACAGAAACCAGTTGCAGCACAGCGCCACCCAATGACAGAGACTGGAATAACTTCAACAAACCAGACAGTGTACTGCACAACAGGAGATACATTACCCCTCCATCCCTCTCCATAGCTAGGTTTCCATTAATTTGTCCATTGATCTTTTGTTAACATTTAACAAGTTTGAATAGAAAATAGATGTGACAATAGAGGAGGTCCATAAAGTTGGCAGCCTCCATGCACTTACCACATATTCTTTGTTTTGCTAAGTTCGGCGTATTTTACATTGCTTTCTGTTAATATTTTTCTGTATGTTGATTAACACAGTATAAATGATCCCAATTGTACCTTCAAGACGCCGGTAATTTGAAAAAGTAGATTGTGCTGATGTATTGGCACATTGAACCATGTCATTTAAAAACTCAGTGGATATTGCTAAAACAATGATGTCATACCTGAATTCTGCCATCTTTATGAATGTTCTCCATTACCTGCTATGGTGCATCTCCATTGAACTGACTTGAGAAGTAATACAAATATATATACTGTATATCTTTTTTTCAATTATTGAAATGGATTTTCAGTTTAGTTCCTGAATTGGACCCAATCAATTAATCAATCAATCAATCAATTAAATAACCATTACAGCAATCTGTCATCTGAGTATATCATTATTTTTCTATAATAATTCTTCTAATATACAGTACCGTTCAAAGGTTTGGGGTCACGTATACATTTCCTTGTTTTCAAAAGAAAAGCCTTTTTTTTGTCCCTTAAAATAACATCAAATTGATCAGAAATACAATGTAGAAATTGTTAATGTCGTAAATGGCTATTGTAGCTGGAAACGGTTGATTTTTAATGGAATATATACAGTGAGGGAAAAAAGTATTTGATCCCCTGCTGATTTTGTACGTTTGCCCACTGACAAAGACATGATCAGTCTATAATTTTAATGGTAGGTTTATTTGAACAGTGAGAGACTAAATAACAACAATAAAATCCAGAAAAACGCATGTCAAAAATTGTATAAATTGATTTTCATTTTAATGAGGGAAATAAGTATTTAACCCCCTCTCAATCAGAAAGATTTCTGGCTCCCAAGTGACTTTTATACAGGTAACGAGCTGAGATTAGGAGCACACTCTAAAAGGGAGTGAAGGAAGGCTATCACTCCATTTTGCAACGCCATGCCCTGTGGACGGTGCTTGATTGGAGCCAATTTCCTCCTACAACAGGACAATGACCAAAGCACAGCTCCAAACATTTTACATATTTAGCAGACACTCTTATCCAGAGCGACTTACATGAGCAATTAGGATTAAGTGCTTTGCTTAAGGGCACATAGACAGATTTTTCACCTAGTCGGCTCGGGGATTAGAACCAGCGACCTCTCGTTACTGGCACAACGCTCTACCCACTAAGCTACCTGCCGCCCTCATGCTCAACTATGCAAGAACTATTTAGGGAAGAAGCAGTCAGCTGGTATTCTGTCTATAATGGAGTGGCCAGCACAGTCACCGGATCGCAACCCTATTGAGTAAGAAGTGCCCATCAAGCCAATCCAACTTGTGGGAGGTGCTTAAGGAAGCATGGGGTGAAATGTCTTCAGATTACCTCAACAAATTGACAACTAGAATGCCAAAGGTCTAATTGCTGCAAATGGAGGATTCTTTGACGAAAGCAAAGTTTGAAGACACAATTATTATTTCTATTAAAATTTATTTCTAACCTTGTCAATGACTACATTTCCTATGCATTTTGCTATATTTCCTATTCAAACTAATTTCATGTATGTTTTCATGGACAACAAGGAAACTTCTAAGTCACCCCAAACTTTTGAACGGCAGTGTGTACTGTGTGTCTAATTATTAATGAGATGAGAAGGCATATTTACAAATCTATCAATTTCAGTAACTTCTGTCACATCCAGCAGGTTGTACAGAGAACTACAGAAGTAACACAGTCAATTATAGCTAAAAGCAGAAGAATTTGGGAATAATGTCAACAAACCAGACACAGTGTACTGCACAATAGGATATAAACTACCCTACTAACCTACCCCTCCATCCCTCTCAGAGACCCCTGATGTTACATTGACTAAGACTTGACATAGACTCAGATACCGATCCGCAAACACAGAGGAAATGATGTCTAATTCCATCTAGCATTGTACACACTTTACAAAGAAATCTATACAAAACAGCTGAATTGACAAATTCAATCCAATTGTTATAACCCATCTCCAACAAACTACATAGTTACATTTTCCTGAAAAAAGGTTGAGATGACAGGCTGAACCATACAGGCTGAACCATACAGGCTGAACCATACAGGCTGAACCATACAGGCTGAACCATACAGGCTAAACCATACAGGCTAAACCATACAGGCTAAACCATACAGGCTAAACCATACAGGCTAAACCATCCAAGCTGAACCATACAGGCTAAACCATACAGGCTAAACCATACAGGCTGAACCATACAGGCTAAACCATACAGGCTAAACCATACAGGCTGAACCATATAGGCTGAACCATACAGGCTAAACCATACAGGCTGAACCATACAGGCTAAACCATCCAAGCTGAACCATCCAAGCTGAACCATACAGGCTAAACCATCCAAGCTGAACCATACAGGCTAAACCATACAGGCTAAACCATACAGGCTAAACCATACAGGCTAAACCATACAGGCTAAACCATACAGGCTGAACCATACAGGCTAAACCATCCCATTGTGTAACAAACTAGTCACATGTTCCTGAATAGAAGGTTGAGATGACTGTCTAAACCAACAATAGCATTAAAATTACAGGTGAAATCAATCAACTCAATAAATCAACAGTATATATATGTATTCTAATACTACTGTATTGTAGGCCTACTGTATATCTTATTATTGACTAAAATGCACTAACTCTAAGTCACTCTGGATAAGAACACCTGTTCAATGACTAAAATGTCAAATGTAAATGTTACATGAGAAAGCATATTTACAAATATCAATAGAAAAGTTCAATCCATTTCAGTAGGATCTGCCACATCCAGCTGGCTATGTGAAGGAACTACACAGGTATGACAGTCAGTAATGGTTGTCATACCTGTGGACAAAAGCTCAAATAAAGCTAGTACTCGGAATTAATGCAAATTAGACATCATGGGTCGGTTCCTGGACACATTAGCACAGTATAAACCCATAGTCCTGGACTAAAAACACTCTAAATGGAGAATCTCTATTGAATATGCTTCATAGTCCAGGACACGGTTTAATCTGTGTCTAGGCAACTGGTCCTATATACTACCCAACAATGAGGTGTCTTGTGCTGGTTACTCATTCAATACACTCCATTTGGCAGCACTATGGAGTGGCTCTCACAGACTGCACGACTCTCACAGATTCTCTTAGATGGTTCGGCACATGCATAGTCAAACCAACATTTGATTCGACGGGAACAGCTTTGACCAATTTGGGCACAGTCTTCACCTGGGGTCCAGTTATTTGGTTCTGGATGGGATGGAATTGTTTCAGTGTTCGGGTCCCAGAACCTAGAACAGGGAGGAGGGAAACCATTACTCCATACTGTATGCCCCCATAGAAGGAAACATGGCTTACAAAACTATATAGACAATTATTCTATGGTTACCTGAGAATGTGTTTGTTATTGTGTATTTGAGTGTACAAGTGTTTGTAGATGTGTGTGTGCGTGTGTGTGTTGTATGTATTGTGTGTTGTATGTCCTTACTTGATGCTGTCATTAAGAGTTGTATTGTCCATCCAGACCCACACTCCTTCTTGCTTCTCGTCTGTCAGTCCAATCCAGGGGCTGTTATCAAAATCAGTGCCTTTCACAAATGTATCTATTATAAACGCCTATGGAGGAGACAACTTATTTTAGTAAACAATAGACTGAGATGAGGCAGAGATAGACACACCAGTAGAATGTCTTACAAATATTAGATCTACAGAATTCAAACTACATCTGGATCTTTAACTCAAACCTTAAAAGGGAATGGAAACACTTTAGAACACCAGCTAACTGTAACAGTAAATCTCCATATTTGCAAGTCTGCTTAATACGTAGGCCTATTTATCAGACAAGGCTGTATCCTAACTTGAAGTCTGCACTTTATGTGAGAGTCATTAGCAATTAATTACTGCACCTCCAACCTTACCTGCTCATGACTACTCTCTATGATGACCAGGTGTCCTCCATCGCAGATGCAGGCGTACTGACTCTGTTCCCAGGTCAGTTTGTCTTTAGAGAAGTAGTAACATGATCCATTGTAGAACTCCCAGCCAGGAGAACATGGCTTCCTATCAGCATTACATTCCTTCTGATTCCCTAGAAGAGAGAAGAGATAACATAATAATGGGGCGGCGCACAATTGGCCCAGCGTCTTCTAGGGTAGGGGAGGGAATGGCCGGCAGGGATGTAGCTCAGTTGGTAGAGCATGGCGTTTGCAACGCCAGGGTTGTGGGTTCGATTTCCACGGGGGTATACAAAAAAAATAATAATAATGTAAGTCGCTCTGGATAAGAGCGTCTGCTAAATTACGTAAATGTAAATGTAAATAATTGAAATTTGATGACTTTCAGTTCTATATCCTGTGATGTTCTTGTTAAATGTGTGTGTCCCTTTAAGAGAGCACAATAGTTGTGGGCTAAGGGAGAGATAACCTGAAAGAGAAAGGACATAATTGGAATGAGAAACAATGACATACTGCGTTTACACTGTCAGCCCAATTCTGATCTTTTGCACAATTATTGGTCTTTTGAGCAATCAGATCTTTTGACAATAATTGGGCAAACGATCAGCAAAAGAGCTGATCTGATTGGTCAAAAGCAGTGGAGGCTGCTGAGGGAAGGGCGGCTCATAATAATGGTTGGAAGGGAGTAATTGGAATGGGATCATGCACATGGAAACCATGTGTTTGATGTATTTGGTACCATTCCACCAATTCCGCTCCAGCCATTACCTTGAGCCCGTCCTCCCC